AAAAAAATTTCATATTTGAATAGTTCATTGCTGGTGTATAGAAATAGGATTTACTTTTGTGTATGGATCTTGTGTTCCACACTTTTGCCAAGCTTGTTTATTGCCTCTAATTTGTGTGTGTGTGTGTATCTTTAAGATTTTCTTTATGTAAGATAATGACATCTGAGAATATAGATATTTCCACTTCTTCCCTTCAAATCTGGTTGCCTTTGATTTCTTTTTCTGGACTAATTCTCCTGGCTAGAATTGCCAATGAAACGTTAAATAGATGTCATAAGAGTGGACATCCTTGACTTGTTTCTGATCTTAGGGGGAAGGTTTTCAGTCTTTCACCGTTAATCATCATTTTAGTTGTGGGTTTTTCCTGGATGCTTTTTATAAGGTTGAGGAAATTTCCTATTCCCTGCCATCCCCCCTTTACCCCTGAGGGGGGAATGGCCCAGAATAGTACCTAAGACATTTTCTTGCTTTTTTTCCTTTAAAGTGTTTTTAACAATCTGTTTAATGATGGGTATCGGTAAGCTTTACTCTTCTTTTTTTTTTTTTTTTAATTTTTTTTTTTCAACGTTTATTTATTTTTGGGACAGAGAGAGACAGAGCATGAACGGGGGAGGGGCAGAGAGAGAGGGAGACACAGAATCGGAAACAGGCTCCAGGCTCTGAGCCATCAGCCCAGAGCCCGACTCGGGGCTCGAACTCTCGGACCGTGGGATCGTGACCTGGCTGAAGTCGGACGCTTAACCGACTGCGCCACCCAGGCGCCCCTAAGCTTTACTCTTCTAAGACGTAATCCGTGTGGATTCCAGACTGCAGATTCTGGCTTTTTGCCCTCCGCCACAGGCTCCACTGTGAGTTCTGAAATATTTTGTGGCGTTAAGGTAACTTTTATTTATTTTATTTTTTGATGTGAGAGAGAGAGAGAGAGAGAAAGAATCTTTAGCAGGCTCCACACTGAGTGTGGAGTCTGATGTGGGGCTCGATCCCACCGAAATCAAGAGTTGGATGCTCAACTGACTGAGCCACCCAGACATCCCTAAAATGACTTTTAAAAAAGAATATTGGGTCACTGGGCAGGGCTGGGACTATGGTGAGACAAGCGAGGCCCTTGCCAAAGGTGCAAAATTTAGGGAGGCAATACAGATTTGACGATTGAGATGATAGTTTTAATGAAATATTTAAAAAAATCAAATGGACAAACTTCAGCCCTCTGGCTGGTCGTGTATTTCTGTAAGGAAAGGAACTGGAATGAAGTAAGTGGGGCAAGGTTGCACACACACGGTCTGATCTGGTTTCTGTTGTTGATATTTTATTCATCAGGGATTGTTCTTGTGTTGATTAAAAAAAAACATTTTTAAGATTTTATTTTTAAGTAATCTCTACACCCAGTGTGGGGCTCAAACTCACAACCCCGAGATCGAGAGTCGAATGTTTTACCAACTGAGCTCTCCCACCCCCCCCCGCATTAATTTTTATTTTTAAAAATATTGTGTTATAAAAAACCGGGTTTTTTTTTTTTGTTTTTGTTTTTGTTTTTGTTTTTTTTTTTTTTTGGAGCGTCCTAAAAATTATGCGTGAGGTGAGTGCTTCATTTGCCTTAGTCTAGGCTCTGCCCTGTCACCCGGAGCCTGAATGGGGGGGAAATTCCAGAGCCAAGGAGAATCTATAGCACTGAAATCAAACCTAATGCTTCCTGTGCTTTTTTTTGCTGTTGATTTCACTGTCTTATACTCTTAAACGTTGGTTCCCCAGATCCATATTTGTACCATTTCAGACAGACGGGGAACAGGCAAAACTGGTTAGTCATGAAAGGCCCTTCCAGTTCAAAGCCAAGAAAAATACATCATGAGGGAGCAAATACGTGTTGCTTCTATGAGTTGACGAGAAATCCATACTTTTCTAGTACATTTCCCCATGATTTTATTAAGGTGAAAATATTACTCTTAACAATGCATACTTGTCTTTGGATAGCTGCACACGTATATTAGAAAAGCAGTTTGGGGGCACCTGAGTGGCTCACTCGGTTAAGCTGCGGACTCTCGTGTTCAGCTCAGGTCACGGGCTCACGGTTCGTGAGATCGAGCCCCACACAGGGCTCCCAGCTGACAGTGCACGGAAACTGCTACTGATTGTCTCTCTCGTTCACTCTCTGTCCCTCCCCTGCTAGCCCTTACTGTCTCTCAAAATAAATAAATTAAAAAAAGAAAAATTTTATGTTATTTATATCATTCACATATTACATATAATTTTATATTATCTATATCATGTATACTGAATGCAAGATTACTACTTTCATTGTAAGACGATGTGATAAAATAGGAAAAGGCTGTACAAATTTATTTTTGTCCTTGTCCCAGTAAACATTTTCAGAACGTATTATAGTGTTTTCTTAGAAATAAAAGGCAGGGCGCCTGGGTATCTCAGTCGGTTGGGCGTCCATCTTCAGCTCAGGTCATGGTCTCACGGTCTGTGGGTTCGAGCCCCGCGTCGGTCCCTGTGCTGACAGCCCGGAGCCCGGAGCCTCCTTCGGATTCTGTGTCCCCCTCTCTCTCTGCCCCTCCCCTGCGTGTGCTGTGTCTCCCTCTGTCTTTCGAAAATGAATAAACATTTAAAAAAAATTAAGAAACAAAAGGCAAAAATATGGGGCGCCTGGCTGGCTCAGGTCACGCAAAAATACGACCAGAATTGGAACTGGCCACAGCGCTGCTCGGTCTACAGGAGACTAAGGCAAAAGTACTGTAGTGTCAGAGAAAAACAATTACTTTCTGCTTGCTAGATGCATTGGGTCCCAGATCCATAAACGTCTATAAAGCATCCACGCTGTATTGAGCCCTGGACTGGGCACTGGGTACCCTGACAAACAGTGGCCTCCTCTCGAGTGGCCCATGATTCAGTTGCAGCGACAGCAAAGTACAGATGTGCAGTTCTGTGTCGTGTTCAGTGTTCTGGAAGCATATACAAAGTCCGTCAGAAATGGAGGGGAACCTAAGTCACGCGTTTTGAGGTTTCTAGTATCTTAAGTATTTAAAAAATGACAGGACAGGGTCTACAAAAACCAGAGTACATTTTAAATGTTCACAAAGAGTAAAATAGTGATTTCAACACGTTCTAAAATACAAAGGAATATAATTATGCTTTTTAGGGGCACCGGGTTATAGGACCTGACATACATGAAACACTCAACAAATGCCTGTTCAGTTTTTAAGATATTAAAATTTTTTTTTATTCATTATCTTTGAGAGAGAGAGAGAGAGAGAGAGAGAGAGTCAAGGCACAGGAGCGGGGAGAGGGAGACACAGAATCTGAAACAGGCTCCAGGCTCCAAGCTGTCAGCACAGAGTCAGACGCGGGGCTCGAACCCACAGACCGCCACCCGAGCCGAAGTCGGATGCTCAACTGACTGAGCCACCCAGGCGCCCCAAGACATTTTCTGCCTTGTTTCATCCTTCTGTGACTCTAAGACCGAGCTTGCCATTAGTTTTGGTGACTGGGAGGTCAGGAAAAGTTCAGTCACTGAGAATTGTCCAGGAGTGCCACTAGGCAGACTGGCCCCGGAGCACTCTCTCGTGTCATTGTGAAACGTACCTCTGACTCAGGAAGGAGCTTGCTCTTCCCTTTCTCCTCTCTGAAGTTTTGCTCTCCTGTTTAGGAAGTCACCCATTGCACTGGGTCCCGAGAGCTGGGTGGCAGCCATTTTAGGGCTGATGAGGGCGAGAGGTTGGAGATGAAAAACTCTTCCTGCGGTGTCCTCTAAGATGTTTTGATTCGTGCACTCGCTTACTCTTGTAATGAGAAAAAAACTCTGCCCAGAGATCTGTACAGACTTTAAATGTAGAATACAGGGGAAAGAACGGAGGGGAAAAAAAAGAGAAGGTAAGAGAATGCAGAAGGAATACAAGGAACCGAAAATTAAAGGGCCGTGTCTTTGCGAGACGTTAACAACCATTGGCTCCTGACAGGCAGACAGAACCAGGGCTTAAAACCCGTTTGTCAAGAAATGATACTCGATTGTTGAGGTTTTTTTTTTTTTTTTAATGTTTATTCATTTTTGAAAGACAGACAGAGACAGAGCACAAGCAGGGGTGGGGTGGAGAGAGGGGCAGGGGGGACGCAGAATCTAAAGCAGGTTCCAGGCTCTGAGCTGTCAGCACAGAGCCTGACATGGGGCTCGAACCCAGGACCGCGAGATCATGACCTGAGCCGAAGTCAGACGCTCAATCAGCTGAGCCACCCAGGCGCCCCAAGAGTCAGACATTTAACCGACTGAGGCACCCAGGTGCCCCAGCTTGTGCCCATTTCCAAAGATAGCTTGACCTAAGTAAGCTTGCATCCATTGATAGAACATCCAACTTTTAAGTCTTCCCATCGCAGATATCAGGAGAGAGATTTTAAGGCAGGTTGTATGTGTCTCTCATCCTTCAAATCGTGCCATGTAAGTGCTGTCTATCTGAGAGCGTTAAGAACATGCCTGACTACAAGGTAAAGTCTGACTTGCTCCCTGCTATTTATGCTAATCTTGGTTCCTTGCCTCTTTGGTGTTTCCTGTGAACGTCCATCACTATTATTTCCTTTCTTACAATTCACAAAAATGAATGTAACTAATTGTCTGGCACTGACATTTAATCAAGAATGACTCTACTGCTCTGTGTTTCTCTCAAGCTAAAACAACACTTAGTAAAAGCATTCATTTAAATGATTTCCTCTTTAGGCTACGTCACTGTGAAGGAATTTTATTTTTGCATAAATGACGTTACTGTAAATCTGTTTAACGGGACTCTTTCTCTTTGTTGTTTCAGGAAACCGACCTCTAAAATATCTGCATTGTTTGATCTTTGTTATGGTTTTACAAGTTCCTTCTTATACAGGTGTCATGTTTTAGGGCTTCCAGTTTTTACAGTGTTCTAACGTATGATGAGGTAGAATATAGGTTATTCACTTGAGACACGTTGTAACTCGCCTTTCTCTATTGTCTTCATTTTTTTTTTTTGTATTTTCTAACACAGATGGCACTATAACGCTTAATAAGGTAGAAGACGTAAACAGTGAATCAAGCAAGAAAGGGAAAGAGGGCATTGAGAAAAGGAGCCCAACTTCAAGACAGCCATCAAATGCTCGTGGACGTCCCCAGCAGCAAGGTAAAAGTGTACTAAAAAATCAAACATTGTAAAGAGCCTGAAATATTTGTGAATAACTAGGTAAGCAAATTCACAAACTTGGAATGTATTCTAAAATTGCCTTATGCTGCTAGTTTGATTTTTCCTGAAAATATAGGCATGTTGGTTCGGTAAGAATGTATGCCATGACAAATGAGAACAAATTTTTAATTTCTATGTGTTACCTCCTTAAGGGAGAGCACGATGAGAATAAGAAATATTTTGCGCCAGTTCACAAGCCTGGCTTGTTGGTCCCATTCTACTTTGGGGAGGTAACACAGGACGCATAAAGGCATGGTTAGTAACCTGGGCACCGTGGCATCCACATTTTGAAAAAAATGAACGCTCGTACAGCAGAGTACAGAAGAGCATGCAAAAAGTCTTCTTTTTGTATTGCCAATCCCATTGGTTAGTGCGGTGTGCATATTTTAATAAGAACGTGCTGCAGATTGCCATTGTAGAGAAGTCTGTTCAACGGTTCAGGATCTCCATGGTTTAGTCAGCAGCCTGGAACCATCCTGACAGTGTGCATGCTCTAAGCCCCCACCAGTTCCTACCCAGCGTCATTACAGTCCTTGTCTGAAACTTTCAGTGGCTTAATGGGTTCTGAGAAAAGGAGGGATGGTGGTTATTAGAGGAATCAATCTGCTAAGAATGGGGAGGTAGCCCATTCTCCTGTTTCTAACTAAATGTAAAATTGATCTTTGTGAGCCTTTTGGAGATCCATATTCTTTGTTTCTGCAACTATCTTTACACCCAAAGCACAGCAGACAACTGAGGCGAATATTTGTATGGTTAATACAAAGCAGATAGTTTTTTTTCCATCTCTCCTTCTTCCAGTAGGGTATTCTTGCAGTTAATTTCAGATACCATGCCCCAACTTTGTTGTCATATGAAAACAAATTTGAGGTATTGCATACAAAGAAGACTACTATATTAAGATACGCAAATAGGAACAGTAGGGCAAAGACTGTTCTAGAATTCAGTGAGACTCTCAGATGATATCACACTAATGAAATGTCACGTTTTGCGAAACCCAGGGCATAGCCTTGAAACAGTGAGATTGCAGATAATACTTCTGAACAATATGTTGAATTTACTGACTGAAAATACAGAAAATAATCATTTTTCAAGGACTCTCACAATTCACAAACAACATTGACGAAGGAAATCAAGATGAAAAACCTTGCCAAGAATCTTCTGAGTTCAAGTCTGAACAAAGCACTTCAAACGAGCAGCCTGTAGATAATCAGGTAAATGTAAATGCTGAGAATTAACCAATATAAACGGTCCTAAATTTAATATAATTCTTAATATTAAAGATTATTTTCAGTTCCATTGAGAGCAGAGATTGTTTCATAGTACTCCCTCATGGCGCCTTGAACATAATTGAAACCCAGTATTTGTTCATTGATTTTTGTCCTCCGTAACTGTTTTAATAAACACTTAAGTTTTGCTATTTTCAGTCCTTGCGAGAAATTTTGAATTTACAAAATGCCAAAGTAGATGATTGGTTTTGTGACTTGTCTTGCATAATCATTCTCATTTTTGCCCTCATCTAGAGTCTTTGATCTTTGGGTATAGTATAAAACAGCTTTAGTAGACTTGTGAATGAATCATAAAAACTAGAAGTCGGGCACCTGGCCTGGGTGGTTCAGTAGGTTAAGCGTCCGACTTCGGCTGAGTTTGTGAGTTTGAGCCCCACATCAAGCTCTCTCCTGCCAGCGCAGAACCCCATTCGGATCCTGTCTCCCTCTGTCTCTTCCCCTCCCCAGCTCATGCATGCTCTCTCTCTCTCTCTGTCGAAAATAAATAAAAAACCTGAAAAAAAATGAAAAACTCTACTTACAAAAAAAAAAAAAGAAAAACCCCGAGAAGTCAGATGATACAGGATATGAAATACACTCTGGGTCCAACTGGTGGGGCATACTATAGTTGTACAAATTCGTCACCTCTGAACTTGTGTAAGTGAGCCAGTCACTGGACAAGAGTTGGCGAGATCCAGATTCATAAGCTAAAATTCATGCCACTCTTTCGGCTGGGCCTCTAAGCGGATTCTTCTTCAGGCACTATGTGGCCATTTAGTAAAAAGCATGGTGGTTCTGGGAAATTAAACCATTTTGGGTCAGATTACATAAACGCCAGTCTTTTTCTTTTTTGGAGGGCATCATGTTGCATTTTCAAATAAAGGGTTAATTTAAATTGATATAGCATGGGGCGCCTGGGTGGCGCAGTCGGTTAAGCGTCCGACTTCAGCCAGGTCACGATCTCGCGGTCCGTGAGTTCGAGCCCCGCGTCGGGCTCTGGGCTGATGGCTCGGAGCCTGGAGCCTGTTTCCGATTCTGTGTCTCCCTCTCTCTCTGCCCCTCCCCCGTTCATGCTCTGTCTCTCTCTGTCCCAAAAATAAATAAACGTTGAAAAAAAAAATTTAAATTGATTTAGCAAATACTGATTAAATGTCTACCCTGTGCAGGTGCTATGCAAGATATTAGAGCAATCCTGCTTCAAATATTATATGTGGGGATAGGAGAAAAAGATAAAAGAATTTAGTGCCAGGCAAGTTGCAATATATGTTCTAATGTGTACGTTGTATATTGTGATCATTCTAATTGGGAGGACTTGAGAAAGTTTGGTTAAACAAGTGACCTGTAAATCTGTAGGGTGAGGAGTTTTTTCATAACATTTGGAAAGAAGGACATGAGTTTACATCTGCTAATGTCTGAGGTGCGTAAATGAACTGAGAATTACTGTAAAACAGTATTTACTTCTTTTTTTAATGTTTATTTATTTTTGAGAGAGAAAGAGACAGAGTGTGAGCAGGGGCGGGGGAGGGGCAGAGAGAGAGAGGGAGCCAGAACTTGAAGCAGGCTCCAGGCTCCGAGCTGTCAGCACCGAGCCCGACGCGGGGCTCAAATTCATGAACCATGAGATCATGACCTGAGCCGAAGTCGAACGCTTAACCGACTGAGCCACGAAGGCGCCCCCCACCCCGCCTTTTTTTTTTTTTTTTTTTAATTTTAATACCAGTATAGTTAACAACGGTGTTATATTAATTTCAGGTGCAGAATATGGTGATCCAAAAATTCTCAGTATTTTCAAATGTAAAGCCTGTTTTTTAATGCTTATTTATTTACTTTTGAAAGAGAGAGAGAGAGACAGAGAGGCAGAGAGAGAGGGAGACAGAGAATCCCAAGCAGGTTCCGCACTGTCAGCACAGAGCCAGATGCGGGGCTTGGACTCACAAACCGTGAAATCATGACTTGAGCTGAAATCAAGAGTCTGACGCCCAACCGAGTCCCCCAAGTGCCCCTAAGGCACCTTTCTATCTCTCATACTTTTGAGACTTTTGAGACCGTCATTATAGCAGAACTCACCAGAAAAAAAAAAGTACTCTGAGGTCAAGAAATATATTAAAATTTAAGCACGATTATTTCACCGATTAATTGAATAACAATTATAGTTTTCAATCATGTGTTGAAATTCTAATAACCTGGTTTTATACCGCACAAGATTTAGTCTCGATATACCAGTGGACTACAATTGTATGTATTCTGCAGAATTTTTTTTGATAGTACCTGTTGTTTATAAGAAAACGAACGTGTGTTTCATTTTTGAAGGGGGGAAATTTGTCATAGCCAAGTGGATGAAAACATTTCTAAAAATCGTGCAGGCTCCTTTGGAGGTATTTGCTGCATGTGGGTCTTTAGGAGATGGGTCTCAATCCTTCCTGCCGTCTCTATGCTGCCAACACTAATCGCTTAGAAAAGGGAAGAGGTACCTGTGCATTTTACCCAGTCTCCTTCTGTTTTATGGTAGAAAGGCTGGAGAGTAAGTATGGTTTTGTGCTTTCGCAGAGTAACAAATTTGTCTTTTTTTTTTTTTTTCCTTTTTTAAGTGAGAGTGAAGAGCTGTTTTTTAAAATTGTTATGTTGATTTAGTTTTTAAGGGAGGGAGAGCAAGCCAGGTAGAGGCAGAGAAAGAGAAATTCCAAGCAAGCTCCACACCGTCAGCGCACAGCCCGATATGGGGCTCGAACTCAAGAACCGTGAGCTCGTGATCTGAGCTGAAACCCAAGAGTCAGACACTTCACCGACTGGAGCCACCTGGGGTCCCCTGTCATATTTTTCATTTTACTTAAGTTTTATGTGAATAATATTCTTTATATCAGTACTTTCCTGTCTTTTAACAGTTGCTCTCAGCTTCCGCTAGTGTTCTGTTAGAAAGTCATAATGGCGCATCTAGGGCATGTTTTGTTTGCCAGGCAATATTTCCTAGTGGAAAGCTTGATTTCTCAGCACGGTCCATATGGTTTCATCCTCTTGCATTTATATAACATCGTAGAGATTTGTGAAAGTTTTCATTATTTCCACGTGGCTGGTTCATTCTACTGCCCTTTTGTTTTAAAAATGGAAAAGGCAGAAAGGCTGACTTGTTGCCAGGCCGATTTATTTATGGAACGGTATTAAGTCAACCTTCTGCTTTCTTTGTTGCTACCTTTCCCCTCACGTATTTGTCTTTCTCTCTAGAAGTAAGTATTAATTTATGTTGAAGAAATAGTTTCTTTTTAATGAGCCCAAGCAAGTGAGGAATAAATAGTACGATTTTGAATACTTTCCTTTGGTTCGAGGGATTTGTACTACAAAATATTAAATATTCTGTCTCTCTTCAGCTGTAAAGTCACAGAATCTGTTTCTTTACATAAAACACCTTGGAATATATCCAGATTTGCAAAGTAACAAATTTTTTATACGTAAAACTTTTTTTGTTTTGTTTTGTTTTGTTTTGTTTTGTTTTGAGAGAGAGAGAGAGAGAGCGAGCACGGGAGAGGGGCAGAGGGAGAGGCAGAGAGAGAATCCCAAGCAGGCTCCACGTTCAGTGCAGAGCCTGATGCAGGGCTCGGTCTCACGATAGTGAGAGCATGACCTGAGCTGAAATCAAGAGTTGGACACTTAACTGACTGAACCACCCAGGCGCCCCTATATTTAAAACATTTTATTCGACTTTTATATTTTTATTAAAAATATTTATTTATTTTTGAGAGACGGTGAGAGAGACAAAGTGTGAGCGGCAGAGGGGCAGAGAGAGAAGGAGACGCAGAATCCGAAGCAGGCCCCAGGCTCTGGGCTGTCAGCACAGAGCCTCACATGGGGCTCGAACTCACAAACCATGAGATTGTAACCTGAAGTTAGATGCTTAACCAACTGAGCTACCCAGGCGTCCCTAATTCTATTAAACTTTTATATGCGTGATATTCTTTGTGCCAGTGACATGGGCTCTGAGTTTTCTCTGCAAATTAGTTCCGAAAACTGTTTATAAAAGTAGGAGCAATGAAATTCTTAAAAAAAAAAAAATTGTCTGTAGAAATGGCTTTGACAAAACAGTATTCTATTTGTCTTGCAAAATTGTGGTTTTTTTGCAGGAGAAGCGCAATGACAATTCCACCTCCCAAACAGAGAGGAGTGGGAGCCGGTCGGAAGAGAGTCAGCAACAATTGGAAACATCTTCAAGCCAATCGTCAGAAAACCAAGATCATTCAGAAAGCTCTCAAAGCCAGTCGGAGAGTTCTTGTGATCAGTCAGAGAGTTCTCCTGGCCAGTCGGAGAGATCTCGCGGCCGGTCAGAGAATTCTAATGAGCAGTCTGAGACATCGTGTGACCAGTCAGAGAGATCTTGGGCCCAAACAGAAAGATCTCGTGGCCAACTAGAGAAAGCTCGTGATCAGCCCGAGAGATCTCGTGCCCGATTAGGGAGAGCTCATGACCAGCCAGAAAGATCTCATTTCCAAATAAAAAGATCTCGTGGCTACCCAGAAAGATCTCATAGCCGATCCAAGAGATCTCGTGGCCACACTGAGAGATACCACGGTCACTCAGAGAGGTCTCGTGATCATTCAAAGAGATCTCATATCCCATCAGGGAGATTTCCTGTCCCATCCAGGAGATATCCTGTCTCATCAGGGAGATATGTCCCACCAAGGAGATATCCCGTCCCATCAGGGAGATCTCCTGTCCCGTCAGAGAGATCTCACTTCCCATCAGGAAGATCTTTCCCATCAGAGAGATCCTATTTCCCGTCAAGGAGATCTCCTTTCCCGTCAGGGAGATCCTATTTCCCGCCAAGGAGATCTCCTGTCCCGTCAGGGACATCTCATTTCCCGTCAAGGAGATCTCCTTTCCCGTCAGGGAGACCTTATTTCCCATCAGAAAGATCTCCTGTCCCATCAGAAAGATCTCCTGTCTCATCAGGGAGATATTTCCCATCAGGGAGATCGCCTGTTTGGTCGGGGAGATCTGTCTCATCAGGGAGATCTCCTTTCCTGTCAGGGAGATCTTATTTCCCGTCAAGGAGATCTCCTGTCCCGTCAGGGAGATTTCATTCCCCATCAGGGAGAGCTCCTGTCCCATCAGAGAGATCTTATTTCTCCTCAGAGAGATCTCATCTCCTATCAGGGAGATATCATGGCCAATCAGGGAGATATCGAAGATACTCACCAGTAGAAAGATTCAAAACACCCAAATTTGAGTCTGAATTTGACAGGTAAAGACATAAGAAATATTTAATCGTTAGTATAATGTGTAGAGTAATATGGAAATGTACTTTATATATCTATATTTTAATGGGGGAATATGTTTTTGTAATAGATGTTGCATTGGGACTAAGGTATTAATAGAATGGAGGTAACATATACATGGCATCAATATTCTTTCAACTTGCTCATCTCTAGTTAATCATCCAGATTCCCAATGTGCCCTCATTAACTTGTTTCATCTAGGTGGGCTTTCCCTGGCAGAGCCCCATGTACTCAGCCTTTCCTACTGAGCCTTCCCGACAATCAAAACACATTGACTTGGTGTCCCATTCCCTTTGAAACTGTCCGGTTTCTAGGCTAGCTAATCTAACAGCAGACTATGCTAGATTGATAATATAATCTCTGATAATGAATTTCTATCTTTCCTTCTCTGTCTCCTTCTCGAAAAGTCTTCAGAGAGTCCTCGGCCTACAAATAAATGATAGGCGTGTCTTTGGGTAGCTGAAGTTTTCTGCTTTTCTTGAATCAGACCATAGGAGAGGATGCTATTCTATGCATAGATGCAACACTCACCTTCTGAATACATTTAGAATAGATCATGTGCATTTACTTGCCTCATACAACGGATAGGTTAGGTCTGTCTGCCCTAGCAAAAAAAAAAAAAAAAAAAAAAAGAAAAAAAGAAAGAGGGAGAGAGAAATTTTTTTTTTTAATTTTTTTTTTTTCAACGTT